TGATTGTTGTTGAACTTCTGGGTCAAAACTCAAATGAGGTGAATTTTGCCTTTGAAGGGTTTATTGCTAAAAACCAACTTTAGTAGTCACAGGACAAATAACAATGTTGGTAAAGTAGTATTTTAACCATTTGGCTTAGGGCTCTGTATTATTTAATAGAGCCTAAAATGGTTTTAATCAATGGTTTGTTCTTTGAATGGTTATAAACACTGTAGAAAATCTTTTAACTAAGGACTGTACAAAGAAGAAGGAGTGGTATCAAACTTAAGGCTTGAACTGTTTGAAGCATTCATTTCACAACTAGATTGTATAAGGATAATCGGCTGTGATGAGACTCACTGCATAATTTTTTCAATAGTGAACTTTATGAAACCCTCATCCCATTCAACAGGCACATGTTAAAAGAGTGTTGTCTTTGGTGTTAATGGGGGAATGTGTTCCTTCATTGTATTTGAGCCTTTTGTGTTAACACGTCTGATATTAAATTAAATGTGCCTTGAAATAGTTGGGGTTTTTTGTTTTTGTTTTTGTTTTTTACATTTAAGGAATATGGTGATTTCGTTGTACTCTAATTGGGGGTGGCTATGGAGAGCAGATTGGTTTTGGAAAATTGGTTGTGCTCTTCAAAGTGAAGGAAAAAGTTGTCTTTTTTGTTTTGTTTTGTTTTGAAGACCTACTTTATTACAGCTGGTACATAAAAGACAAGGAGACTTGACACTTTGTCCTGAGATACTGCAGTAGAATTAATGTGAGACATCTCACAGGGAGCCTGCCAGAAGATTGGGGAAATAATGTACTGGAACTGTGGGCTGGCCTAAGCGAGACATTTTTGTGAATTGGGAAAAAAAGTTACAGTGACCATTTCTAGCAAATTCATTTGATCATTTAGATAAATGAGGCATTATTTTCTTCATGTTTCCATCCAATCCCGGAGGTGAACTTTTTTCGTCTGATCATTCTGTAAGTCACCAGTTTGAATTTTCGCTTGGTGATAATGAAGTCTAAGATGAGTAGAAGATAAGTTCCAGCTTTTCCCAACGTTTAAGTGCATTTTTAACAAGGGTGATTTAAGTTCTCTCTTAATCATTCAAATCAATTGTAAGTATCTTGTATTTTTGTGCTTAGAGGACTAATTGTGGGCGAGGGTGGGTTGAAGAAGTGGTTTATGTGACTTCAGCAAGAAACCTGTCTAAAATTCTCACTATTTGTGAGGTTTGGAGGGTAAGTAAGATCTGTGTGGAATTAGTTTATGCCCATATTAAGTGTTTTGTATTTGTTTTGCGCCTTTTAAAACTGCAGTGGCAATGTTTTTAGTGTATTTTTAACAGGTCAAATAATTCATAAAATGTATAATTAATGTGTACTCAAATTTAGCCCTTTAGGTGCTAGTCATTTAGAGGTATTCTATTAGAAGGCTTTTATTCTTGTTATTGTTAAGGTTTCCTTTTAAGGTAATACATACTTGCTTATGTATGAAAATTGAAACAACAGACAAAAGTAGATACAAAAAATGAATGTCGCTCCTGGATGTGATCTCCACCGTCCACATTCTCCTCTCCAGGAGCTGTCACTGATGTCACACTGGATATCATCAAGATTATATTTTATGTATATTAAATAAATGTTATCACATTGTTCATACAGATAACTTACAGCTTGTCTCTCTCCTCACCGCCCCCCACTTTGGAGCATCTTTTTAGTACATCTACATTACATTATTATTGCATATAACCTATTAATCGTATTTTAATCATATACAAGGGGTTGTTTTGTAAAATTAGATTATACATAAACCAGAGAACATTAGCTATTATGAATCCATCACTAATTTGAAACAATTAATGATCGGTCATTAATAATTTCAGTGTAGAATAAATAATTTAAGGAATTGGGGATTGCACTTAGTGTTTTTCTGATTTGAAGTAGGAAGAGTCCCTAAATTCTCTTGTCCAGTAGTTAAAATACTTCATGGTGCTTTTTTTTTTTTTTTTTTTTAATTTTATTTTTGTAGCCAGCTCAGCCTGCCCTGGGGGCAGGGCTGGCATGACATGTGGTGCCAGGGATCAAACTGAGATCCCTGGACTTTGCCCAAGCTTGCCTAAACAGGCGCTTGAGACCACTGAGCTATCTCGCCGGCCCCCTGATACATTTTAGAGTGTTGAGAGTGATATGTGTCAGTATTTTGGCAGCTTTCAGTTTGCATTTAATTACTTAGATAATCGTGTAAGTATCTTTAAAACAGTCTTGCTACTTTTACCTGGATAATATATACAATGTTCATTCCTTCTTATAATTCCTCTTAAAGTATTTTCTGATTTATTTGCTTTGTGGATTATTTGATTTTAGAAATAGGTTGTTTTGGGGCCAGGGAGATGGCTCAGTAGAATAAGTGCTTGCCTGGCAAGTGCAAGGGCCTGAGTTCAATCCCTGGTTCCACTAAAAAAAAAAGAAAGAAATACATTGTTTTTGTACTGGGGAGCGAACCATCAAATCTAGGGTACCCTAAGGACCTACATTTCTAGACCTTTTATTTATGTTGAGACAAGATTTTGCTAGTTTCTGAAGTTGGCTTAAATTTGTGACCTTCTTTCCTTATCCTTCTAAGTAGGTAGGGTTATTTCAAAAATACTTGAATGCAAGAAATAATACTTTTCAATCATTTTTGAAACATTTACTTGTAATTCTTCTCACTCATTTATGGTGCTGAGTCAGACTTGTGTAACTACTGTATCACTGAACTACATCTTCAGTTCTTTCTTGTGGAGTGCAGGGGGCCAGTGATGGGGATCGATCCCAGGACTTCACACGTCCTCTGCCAGAGTAGATCACCCACTCTCTCTCTTTTTTTTTTTTTCTTTTTGGCGGAACTGGGGATTGAACTCAGGTCCTTGTGCTTGCCAGGCAAGTGCTTATTCTACTGAACTATCTCCCCGGCCCCCACTCTCATTATTTTGTGATCTGATGAACACAATACAAATTTCATGAGGTGTTTAATAAAATGACGTAAATTACAGAATGCTTACATAGTGATTTTGCTGAACTATTGTTTTGGTTATCACTAATTGTAGAAATTATGTTTATTTTAGAACAAGCATTATAGAAAGATGACTTTTTAGCCAGGCAGACCCTCGGGAGACTGAGACAGGAGGATCTTTGTGACAGGGTCAGCCTAAACCACAATAGGACCCTGTCTCAAGAAGTGAAAGAAATACAACTTTTTTTTTTTTTTTTTTTTAATGTATTTGGTTGTTGTAGGGTCTCACTACACAGCTCGGACTTGTGGTGATCCTCCAGCTTTCACCCTCCCCAGCACTGAGATTACAGGCATGCGCCACAGTGTTCAGACTCTGGCCAGCTCAGCCTGCCCTGGGGGCAGGGATGGCAGGTCGTGTGCCAGGGATTGAACTGTGATCCCTAAGCTTGCCTAAGCAAGCACTTTAGTCCCCTGAATTATCTCACCAGCCTCCTGCAAAAGAAGAAACAAAAAACGACTTTTTAAACCAAACTTTTAGTGGTTTTGAGGTTTTTGTTTTAGGTTAAGTGAGGCCACAACGATTAATGTATTTTACGATTGTCTGTTTTTTCCTTAATCTTTAGTTAATTCATAGAAAGGGAGAGAATTTAAGATTAGTTGAGTATGCTTTGCAAGAAACAAAGTTGTTGGAGCAGATGCAGCCAAGTGGAAGGGAATTCTGTAACGGTGGTATCTGTATCATATGGAGGCTGAAATCTGAGGGTGCCACTAGGAGATGTGAAGCTGCAACGACAATGAAGAATCCTTGCAGTTAGGGTTTCTGTGCCTGAGCCTAACCCTAAATCCTGGTCATGTGTAAACACTGGCTTTTAAACCAGTGGGGTCTCTTTAAGCAGTAGTAAGCCAGGTTTTATTTCGCCAGATTTTTGTAAGGAATCCCAGTTACCAATTTTTTCTTGAGTTAGCTCAGAATACACGTACAGGTAAAAGAACTTCGAAGCACTACTTGAAAGAATGAGAATTTCCAGCAAAGCACTCCCAGTTTCAAATTTCTAAGGTTTGATGGGATCAGATCTACTCTGAAGCAATGTATTAGGCAAGGAAAAGCCCCCTAGAAATGAATTTAACCAAAAACTTATTGTGTGAACTGAACACAATGACAAGAATGTTATAGTCTTCCCATCCAAGTCTCAATATCATAATTACATACTTAGATTTCTTTTTTCTTCCCCCCCCTCCCCCCCCCAGGGATTGAACTCAGGCCCTTATGCTTGCCAGAGAAGCGCTTATTTTACTGAACTATCTCCCCGGCCAATTCTTATATTTCAAAAAAACTGGTATTTATGCTATTGCTGAGGCCAAAAGAAGGTAGCTAATTTTATTGACAAACTGAATTGCACTTTGAATTATACTGTTGCAGTTGCTATATATGTTTGTATATGTTCTATAGTGTATGGTAGTGTTTAGAAGTAAAGATTAATGGCATGATACTCCTAATTTGACAGATAGTTCCATATTTATATTTGATCACTTGATTTTTGTGATATATGGATGAACTTTGATAACAGTAAAATCTTAACCATGTATCAATAATACATTTTTTTAAACTTAAACCTTGGTGCCCATTTGGCAGCTCAATAGTATATTAGTCACGTTAAAAAGTTACATGAAGCCAGGTGTTGCAGCATACACCTATAATATTAGCACTATGGGAGGCTGAGGCAAAAAGAGGATTGTTAAGTTCGAGCCTAGCCTGTACAATTTAGCACCTTATCAAGACCCTATCTGAAAATTTTCAAAAGGGCTAACGTGGTAACTCAGTGCAAAGCCCTGAGTTCAATCACTGTTACCTTAATTAAAAAGAAAAGCCAGGCCATGGTAAGACATGCCTGGAATTCTAACACTGTGGGAGGCTACCGTAGCGAGGACAAAATATTCAAGCCTAGACTGGGCAACTTCAGAACACCCTGTCTCAAAATTTAAATTAATTAAAAAAAAAAAAAAAAGAAAAGGAAAGGCCTGGAGCCCTTAGTTATGCAGAGGCCCTATACAAATCCCCAGTACTACCAGTAAAGAATTTAATGAGTGGAAAGAGTAAAGATACAAACTCCATCCTTTAATATGTGGTGCTGATGGTCAAACTGGGGCTTTGTGCATGTTAGCTAATGGTTCCACCAGAGAGCTGCATCTCAGACCCAAACGTTTTAAGACTAAAGAACTCATGGCATAGTGATGCATTTCTATAATCCCAGCTACTTAGGCCGAGGCAGAAGGATCACAAGTTTGAAGCCAACCTGGGCAATTGAGCAAGATCCCTGCTCAAAAAAATGAAAGGGGCTGCCGATGTAACTCAGTGGTAGAATGCTTGCCTAGCACATGTTCAATCCACAGTACTAAAAAAAAAATGAACATACCTCATTTATTGAAATAGTCATATTCTTTGGAAGTGTAAAAGATGAATGTACCAGAGAACTACCTGTTATAGAGGACTCCACATACACACATATTTTTTTATGTTATTTGGTACAAGGTCTTACTACACAGCTCAGACATGTAGTGATCCTCTTACTTTCAGCCGCTCCAACACTGGGATTGCAGGCGTGCACCACCATACCTGCTCAGCATTCCCTTGGTTGGGTAAGGCCAAGGATTGAATCTTGCTCCCTGTACTTGTTTAAGGAGGTGCTTAGTCTGCTGAGCTATCTCACCAGACCTTGTATTTATTGAATGAGAATAAATATGTCTTGAGTATTAGAGATATTTTAGAGAAGTTATTATAAAGTAGCATACTTCTTTTGTTTTTGGGTTTTTTTGCGGTACTGGGAACCAAACCCAGGACCTTGCACTTGCCAGGCAGGCTCTTGGGCTGCTGAACTGTATCCCCAGCCCCTAGAGGTTTGGTTTTTATTGGGGGGGGGGGCTTTTTTTTTTTCCTATTTTCTTTTTTGGTACTGGGGGTCGATCTCTAGGCCTTGTGCTTGCTAAGCAGGTGCTGTGCCGCTGAGCTACATCCCTGGCCCTGTATTTATGATTGATAGTACATGTACCTATTCAAGAACTTGCTGAATAAAGCTAAATATCTTAGTGTTACATTATAAGGGCTGTTGTATTTGAGGTATGTGTTTTAAATTGTCTTTTCATTTTTAATTGTTTTTGTCACTATTATTTTGTACCGGGGATGGAACCGAGAATCTTGAGACAGTCCAAGTTGGCCAGGCTTGTCTCAATCCTGTGATTCTCCTTCCTGAGCTGCACAGAATGCTTGGTTTATAGGCATATGCCACTGTACCTGGCTGTAGTTCATATTATGTTTGGGGTTGAAAATAAATTTTTGATGTGATAGAAGCAAAAAGTGCCTAGCACCTATTTGAGTACTTTTTGTTAGGACTTCATTTTGCTGCTGTATTGGCAAAATACTAAAATTTGGAAGAAGGACATGTTCCTGTAAAGATGGTAAATGGGTTGGCATCTGCTGTGATGTACTTACATTCCATTCATGTTATATTTACTTCTGTAGTAATTGCAATCAAAGAAAGTTACAGGGTTTTGTTTACATTTTGTGATGGTTGGCTCTTTCCTTTGCAGCCAAACAGGTAAAAAGTTAATGGCGAAGTGTCGAATGCTTATCCAGGAGAACCAGGAGCTGGGAAGGCAGCTGTCCCAGGGCCGTATTGCACAGCTTGAAGCAGAGTTGGCTTTACAGAAGAAATATAGTGAGGAGCTTAAGAGCAGTCAGGATGGTAAGGGATTTCAAAATTTTTGAAAAATGTGCTTAATTTTGCACTGGCTTTAAAAAAAAAATGCCAGCCACAAATATAGATTAGATTCTATACGTAACTGTTCTTTGCCTGTGGTTATATAAAATTATGAGTGAAACATTGGTAGATGTATCAGCAAACAAAGCGTTTAATTTTGCAAGATATTAAAAAAATATTTTTACAGGATATTTTTCTATTTTCCTAATTGCTTATTGTTCAGGTTTCAGAAGATTTGTGTGTAGGGAAAAGATAACTATATTCAAGATATAAAAATTTTGCCAGGATGGTAGCACATACCTGTAATCCCAAGAGGCTGGGATTACAGGAGGCTGAGGCAGAAGGATCACTATTGCATTACAGGCTGGTTTTAGGCTACGTGGTGAGTACAAGTCCAGATTGATAGCAGGCCCTGTCTCAAAAATAAATACAATGGAAAAAGATACAGAATTTTGTATTTGGTGCTTTGAAAAGGAGGTACAGTGGTAGCTCAGTTCAGGAACTTGTTCTGTCATTTTACAAAAGAACTGTGTGAAAAAAAAAAATTAAAAAACCCTGTGTGTTTGGGAAAGGTGACTGTGGTCATGTTTGTCACCAGATGCACAGTTTAAAACAAAATTTTGCCAACACATCTGTAAATCGTTTGAAAATTTAAGTTCCTAAACTTGAGGTGCCACTGTATATCTTTTTTAAAAAAATTTTGTGTGTGTGTGTGTGGTGCTGGGGGATTGAACTGCGGTCCCTGTGCTTTGCTAAGCTTGTTCTAAGTAGGTGCTTTAGACCACGGAGCCATCTCACCAACCCCACTGTATATCTTTATTTCTCTTGTATCTTAGAAACATTTTGTAATTTCTAGGGGTCTGAAAATAATGTAATTAATGATACTTGATCAGGTCCTATTTAGTGAATAAGAGATTTAATACTTATATTTGCTAAGGCAACCGAATTACTGCACCCTTTTTTGGGCAAGTATGTCTGCATCTGTGCTGTTTTCTCTTTGTGAAGATTACTACTAAGAAACATAGCCAAACTGAAAATTTAGTGGATTTTTCCCCTCCTATACTGTTTTTTTGTTGTTGTTGTTGTTTTGGGTGGAACCAGGGATTGAACCCAGACCCTTGCGCTTGCCAGGCAAGCACTTATTCTACTGAGCTATCTCCCCAGCCCCTTCCCCTTCTATATACTTGAGTGCCTTTTTCTTTCATTCTTTTTTTTCCTTTTGCCCTGATGTGTCCTGTGATCCTCAGTAAATGTAGCTACTTAGCAGTATTTGAAAAAGGAAAACTGGCTGGCTATGGTGGCACACACCTCAAGGCCAGCTTGAATGACATAGTGAGACCCTGTTTCAAAAAGGCAAAGAAGAATTTAAAATTTATACTGGGAATTAGTATATCTGGTTGAGTGCAAAGAAAATTAGTAATATCTTTAAAACTTTATTTATTTATTTAGTTAGTTGGTATGGAGTCTTGCTACACAGCTCAGACTCATAGTGATCCTCCTGTCTCAACCTCCCCAGAGCTCCAGAACTGGGATTACAGGTGTGCACCACCGTGCCCGGTTTCTGGGACCAGCACAGGATGCAGTACAGGGATTGAACCTTGGTCCTTGCACTTGCCAGGCAGGCACTTAGACTGCTGAGCTATCTCCCTGTCCCTAAAACTACTTTCTCAAAGTGATAGTTACTAGCTTTTACTACTTATAAACATGTAAATTTGGAAGTTTTGTAAAGAATCTCCAAATTTTATTTTGTGGGTTTTTTGTTTTTTTTTTTTTTTTTGGTTTTGTTCTGTTTTTGTACGTGGGACAGTTTTTGGTGAGAGCGTAGGCCTCTTTTGAGGGTTAGACTAGAGGACCACAGAGTACTAAAGGGCTGAACCTCTGCAGAGCTAAGACACTGGCTGAGGTAGTGAAGAGTAAGGGCATTGGCCATGTTGGGCCCACAGGTAAACATGGAGTGGACTTCTTAGCCTGTAATCAGTTACATGTAAAAAGAATGAGTGTAATCTAAACATGCTGGGCTCTTGCTGCCCTTGACTACTATGTCCAGGCTGGGCTCAAATTCATAGTGATCCTCCTGCCTTCTCCAAAGTGCTGGGATTATAGATATGTGCTCCTATGCTCAGCTTTGAATCAGCTTTAAGTCATTTTAAGTTACTTGATATTGAAGCATGTGACCTACCCCCAGAAAAGCTCATTCCTAAGTACTATTTTAAAATTCCAGTTAAAATATATTGTGGTTTTAGAATTTGTACTTGTTTGGGAGATGGCTCAGTAGAATAAGCGCCTGGTTGGCAAGCACAAGGGCCTGAGTTCAATCCCCAGTTCCACCAAAACAAAACAAAACAAAACAAAAAACAATTTGTAATTGTAATGAAGCATTGACTACCTGGCTTTGTGGTAGACACTTAAAATTTTTAAATATATTATTACAAGACTTATTAAAGTAGGTTTGACTCTTGCCTCTCCTTTGCACAGAACTGAATGACTTCATCATTCAGCTTGATGAGGAAGTAGAGGGCATGCAGAGCACCATTTTGGTTCTTCAGCAGCAACTGAAGGAGACTCGCCAGCAGTTGGCTCAGTACCAGCAGCAGCAGTCTCAAGCCTCTGCTCCAAGCACCAGGAGGACTACGTCTTTGGAGCCGGGAGAGCAGACGGAGATCACAAATAAAGACTGCAGTCGTCTGGCAAATGGACCAAGTAATGGCAGTTCCTCCCGTCAGAGGACGTCTGGGTCTGGATTTCACAGGGGGGGGAGCACACCTGAGGATGACTTTGCTTCTTCTCCAGGGAGTGGGAATAAGGCCTCCGACAGCTCAGAGGAAAGAACTGGCAGAGGAGGTAGTGGTTACGTGAACCAGCTCAGTGTGGGTTATGAAAGTGTAGACTCTCCCACGGGCAGTGAAAACTCTCTCACACACCACTCAAATGACACAGACTCCAGTCATGACCCTCAAGAGGAGAAAGCAGTGAGCGGGAAAGGTAACCGAACTGTGGGTTCCTGCCATGTCCAGAATGGCTTGGACTCAAGTGTAAATGTACAGGGTTCAGTTTTGTAACATTTTTCCAGCAAATTTTTATACAGTGTCATTTAATTTGGGAGGAGATACTGTCTAGAAAATTAATGCATACTTTTGTCATAACTTGCCTTTTTTGTGGGTGTGTATTTTTGTTTGTTTGATTTTTTTGTGTGTGTTTTTGTTGTTGGGTTTTTGTTTGTTTGGGGGTTTTTTTGGTTTTTTTTTTTTTTTTTTTTTTTTTGCTTCAATACCTCTGCCACATTGGAAATTGTACCAGTTAATTTCTTTGTTGCTAAAAGGACATTTTGTGTAGGGTCAAGTTATTTTTCTATGCGTTAATGTGAAGTTGTAAATGGAAATCTTTCCTTAAAGTATAACACAATGATGTCTGTATAAATCTGTGTCTACCTAAAACCTGTGCTGTGTAAGGGCATTCTTACTCACGCTGTTGTGCACTTCTGCACCATTCAGATTTGGTAGAGTAGATGTGGTTTATGACTGCCAAGTTCGCCCAGTACAGTAGTTTTTAATCACTAAAAGTTGGGCTTGTTGACGGAGTCCTATAGTAGTTTCCATGTTAGATAACAGTTTTTCCCACCATACATCTGTGCATTTTTTCTTTAGGTGACTGAATGTTTAAGAAATTTGTGTGCATAGTTGCTCAGTTTTTATGAACTGTCGTATCCTGTTAATGCATATTGCTCTGTGACTCCAGTATATCTTACCTGTACTGACCAAACCTGAATAAAGATTTTTATTGTAACTTCATGGTTTTTTTTTTATTTTGTTTGTGTGTGTGTGTGTGTGTGTGTTTATGGTATTTGTCATTTATTTTCATTGAGGAGGTGCTAAATTAATTTTGTTGGTTTTTGAGACAGATTCTCTCACTTGGTAGTTCAGGCTGGCCTCAAACTCCCTATAGCCCAGGCTAGCCGCCTGTGGAGATCCTCCTGCTTCAGCCTCCAGAGTACTGGGATTATAGGTGTGTGCCTCCAGGCCTGGTTGAACTGCTGAATTTCTATTTATTAACTTACCACAAAGGTGAAATTTCAGTCACCCCATTTGTCAGTTTTGATTGTGTACGTTCTTAATTTGTGTTCTGTTTTGGAAAATGAAGTTAAGAGTTTAAATTATTTCCCTGACATATAGAAATAATTGCTGTAAAATATTGAAAATACAAAAAAGTCAAACTAAATAGTCATCCAAGTCATTTTTAGGTTTTAATTGAAAAGCAGTGTTAGTGACCTGATCTACAGTAATTAGTAAATCTGCAGCTCCTGATGTTAGTTTGGTTTTTTTTTGGTAGAACTGGGGATTGACCTCAAGCCCTTGCACTTGCCAGAGAAGCGCTTATTCTACTGAGCCACCTCCCCGGTCCCTGTTAGGTTTTTGTTTTTGTTTTGTTGTGTTTTGCAGAACTGGGAATTGAACTCAGGCCCTTGCATTTGCCAGGCAAGCGCTTATTCTACTGAGCCATCTCCCTGGCCCCTAGTTTTTTTTTAAACACTGGCTAGTACTACTGGTTTTTACTAACCTATCTACATGTGCATTACATAGTCTGTGGAAGAAAATGTTTTAAGATGAAGAGTGACAAAACTGTTTTTTTTCCAAACAAGCATTATTATCAAGGTCTATGGCATTGAATACCTTAAGAATCAATAGCTCTTCATGCATGGTTATTGTGAAACTTCTGCTGAAAATAGAATCGACTGACTTAATTTTTTTTTTTTTAAATCTTTTATTTGGTGCAGGGTTTTGCTACGCAGCTTGGACTGATAGTGATCCTTTTGTCTCATCCTCTCCAGCACTGGGGTTACATGTGTGTGTCACCACGCTCCTCCAGCACTGGGATTACAGGTGTGTGTCACCATGCCCAGTTTCAGTGACCAGCACAACATGCGGTACCAGGGATTGAATCTGGGTCCTTGTGCTTGCCAACTAGGCGCTTAGGCCACTGAGTTATCTCCCCTGCCCAGTCAGCTGGTTTATTTATTTATTTATTTATTTATTTATTTATTTTTGTGTGTGTACTCTGGGAAGCTCTGGTTTTGGCTTCAGGATCTGGGGATCAAACCACAACATGCTGAGCCTCACTGCTTTGTTTCAGCAGGCACTAAAACCACTGACCTAATGGGCAGGCCCCCAATCAGCTGGTTTAGGTGTAACTGAGATGCAAAGATCCTCAGAAGTGGATTTACAGTAACACCACTTAACTTGCAGAGAGCTGCTGGTTTTTTTGCTTATCTACCTGGTTTGCATCTCAAATGAATTAAAATTACTGCAGTATAGAAGATATGGCTCAGTGAGAGAACACTTGCCCCTGGACTACAAAAACCCCACCAAAATATCCCTCCATTATCTTAGATTTTTTTCTTTTTTTTTTTTTGGCGGAACCAGGGATTGAACTCAGGCTCTTGCACTTGCCAGGCAAGCGCTTATTCTACTGAGCTATCTCCCCAGCTCTCCATACAACTTTAAGTAAATTTGTATATAATCATTTTGATGTGCACTAAGATAATGTTCCCTTGATTTATCAAATACTGTGGGCTTTGACTTTTATTATGTATATGTTTTGGACCTGACCAGTTTAAATGAAAATAGAAGTTCTTTATCCTGTTAATGTTATGTAATCATTGGTAGTTTTCAACCAGTAATCTTAGAAATAAATTTAGGTATGCTCATAATGTGACATTACTAATTTCTTTATATGGCAGTTGACTCTGCCTTCAATAACCTAGTGACTTAATGATCGTTCCTAGTGGCACTATTCTTCACTTGTGGAGCCAGGGATATAGCTCAGCAGTAAGGTCCTCAGTTCAAGTCCTGGTTGTCCCCCCCCCCCAAAAAAAAAAAAAAAACAACAAAAACACCTCACCTTTGGAGCAGATCCTTTATTTCTGGTATGAGTACTGATGAGACCACAGAGAAGAAACAGGTCAAGTGCACACTGAATGGCTTCTCAATCAAGTGGGTCACATGAGTTGGGCAAACTATTTAAGCTCCCCTCATAAAAAAGCACTAAGTGATGTAAAGTGCATATATTACAGTGCTATCTTAACTTCAGCTGCTATCAAAAACTGGATGGCTTCAGCAGCACTTATTTCTACACTTAGGAAGGCTGGGACATGGGAGACCCATGTGAGTGGCTCACCAGTTTGGTCCCTGGTGATGGCCTGCTTCCTGGCTTGCAGCGTGCTGCCCTCCTGTATCTTCATAGGGCACAGACATCACCTCTTTGAGGCCTCATCTACACTGCACTGGGGAGTAGAGCTTAAACACACACATTGGAGGGTGGGAGACACAAAAGCATTCAGTCCACGGTTAGTGCCATGCTCATGGCGATTGGCTGATGTTAGCCAGTATATCTCAGAATGCAGTTCCAGTCCTGACAGTCTCCCAGATGATGCCAAACAGAGTTCTGTTCTTTTTTTTTTTTTTTTTTAACTGTGGTTAATTTCTGCTGAGACAACAGCTTTAATTAAATCAAAGGGTTGGTTGCTGAGTGTAGCTGGTAGCTGGACCGACTGATTCCACAAGCTGGGACTCCCCTGGTACTACTTACTGCCTCCCTTCATCTTGAAGAAGAGGCAGAAATGTACCTGAGCTGGGGATGACAGCTCATAATCTTTGTTTCTTTTTCTTTTTTTTAATGTAGCAAACTTTTATTTAAGAAAAGAAAGAAGCTCTAAGATGCAAGTTTGGGCCAAGTAAAAGTAGGAAAAGAATATAGAACCTACAGCATGAGGGCAGACCACCCAAGCAAGAGAACACAGTGGCTTCACAATCAAGTTTTGGTTTTTTGTCTTTGAGACAAAAAAAAAGTAGTTCAGGCTGGCCTTGAACTCACTTTGTAGCCCAGGCTGGCCTCAAACTTGCAGCAATCCTCCTGCCTCAGCCCGCAAGTGCTGGGGTTACAGGTAAATCAGTCTTCATGGTTGCCGTGCTAAGCAAGCACTGCAAACAGTCACACAAAGTAACAATGCAATAACTTTCTAAAAATGTGGTTCACAGATTCTGAGTGTACAGGTAGAGATGCTGAGCTCAGTGGTAGAGCACTTGCTTAGCAGGTGTGACGCCCTGATTCAATCCCCAGTACCATGATCAAAAAACCCTCAATCTTTCCATGTTAGAAAAATCAAAGTGAACCTATGTTCCCTAATATAACATGCTTAGTTAAGTATACTTTCTTAGTTATCCGGATGCTAGTGGTGTAGCTCAGTTGCACACTAGTCTAGCATGGGTGAGGCCCCAGTTATTCCCAGTGAGGGAGTAATTTGCCCCGCGAAGGAAAGACCAATAGATGGACACAATTAAGTCTCACGTTGGACCATCAACCAGTTGCTACCTTTGCAGAATAATGCAGTCGTTCTGGCAATTTTTCCCTTAGCTGTTCTCAAGTGAATAAGCTAGATTTTCTCTGTACTCTTTTTTTTTTGGGGGGGGGGCACAGAGGTACTATCATGGCTCTACCCATGTGGTTATAAGTAACGCTGTACAGTCCAGGTTAACGTCATTACTTCTAATTTGGGCCCACTGTGGGGCAGTTGAGGCAGTAGCTACCCACCATAGAAAGGAGCACAGTGCTAAGCCCCCCTGGCAAAACCACTAGGGATTCACTCAGACCAAGTGATGAATCTGCTACATGGCAAATTGGCAAATACTGCTTTGTATCTAAAACCTGGCCTGCCCTCCTACACCTGTGTATGAAAAAATCAAGAGGGTCACAAGGCCCCTTTGGGACACGCTGGCTCTGCAGCACTGTTAAAGTGGTGGCTTCTCATCAGCACCTAGAGATTCTAGTGGTTTCCTTCTAACTCCTAATTGCCAGCCAAAACAGTATATGTTTCTAGACCTAGATGTAATTTAAGAAACGAGACATTCTCAAAACAGGAGGATTACTATGACTCCAAGTTCCATAGTGACACCCTGTACCAAATACATGAAAGAAAAAAGAAAAAAAAGGGAAGGAAAGAAAGAAAAAGAAACTATTCTCATCAGGAGGGGCGTATGCATCTGTAATCCCAGCATTCTGAGAGGCTGAAGCAGGAGTACTGCAAGGCTGAGTTCAGCCTGGGGAAACAGTGAGACCCTGTCTCAAAAAATAAGGTTTAGGGGCTGGGGAGATGGCTCAGTGGAATAAGCGCTTCGCTGGCAAGTGCAAGGGCCTGAGTTCAATCCCTGGTTCTGCCAAAAAAATAAAATAAATAAAATAAGGTTTGAGGATGCAATTCAGTGTAAAGACGCTGGGCTCAATTCCCAGCGCACGCGCATACACACACACACACACACACACACACAAAAGAAAAGCACAAGCTATTCCCTTCCTCTTGTATAGTATCCATATGGCCCATACATACCATCAAGTAAATACCAATATGCAGTTCTGATGAGGACGCCCCAGAAGTCAGGTGCTTCTGGCCACTCCATAAAGGCAGTTCTGTCTCAAGATTTCCCCCTCGGTTGGGTTTCCATAGAGCCTCTGGGCAGGAGACTAACCATCATGCTGTTTCTTACTGCCTCTGCTGCGCTAGGAGCTGTGCGCAGAGCAGTGATATAACGAAGGTACCACGCAGAGCTCGTACTAGGAGTTTCAGGGTAACCTGAACACTAAGGTTAGCTATAGGCGGCTTAGGGGCACGACTGCAGGAACACAGGAGGGCTTCATGGAGAAAGGACGGGGAGTACTAGAAGTGGCCCTCTGACATGGCAACAAGAGATTTTAAAAAGAACACGGCTGAGATTTTAAGAAAAGAAACAAAGGTTGGGAAAGGTGGACTTAATGAATTTGACTTAAGATGTTAGAGTCCACAAAAGAAACCAAGGTGTGCTGGAAAACCAGAGGCAAACGAGATAAAGTTAAGGTCTGATAAAGGGCCTAGCATGGCACAGCATAGCACTTGGGAGACAGGAAGATCAATTCAAGTTAGAGGCCAGCCTGGGCTACAAAGCTCAAGGCCAGCCCGATCTAAAAAAAAAAAAAAAGCCTGGGCCCGCCAAATAGCTCAGTGGATGAAAGCACCTGCAAGCAGGCACCTGCCCCTGGGGGCGCTGAGACTGCAATTGAGACAGCGCGCTGGGCGCCTGTAATCCCAGCTCTTGGGAGGCTGCAAACAGGCAGATCACTATGAGTCTGATCTACTAGTGAGACCCTGAACACCCTGTAGGCCCTTCCCTAAAAAAATACCCCCCCCCCAAAATAAATATATAAATAAATAAGCCAGATGAAAGTTCCTGGAGTTCCCAGAAACAATGTGCCTCTGAGCTAGATGGCTGATCCCATCACCACTCCAGACTCTCAAGGGAAACACCTGTCCCATCTTTCCTCTACATGGCCCCAAACTCTAGGATCTATACTTTAGATATATTCTCCATTTTATTTTACCCATCCATATCCCTGCAAAGTCTTAAATTGTATTCCTAAAACCTAATTTTTTTTTTTAATCCTAAAACCTAATGGCTTAACATTCAGGAGTATTCTCCATGTTTATCAAGATTTTCTCTCCACAATCTTGTGACTCGTCAGCATTGCTTACCTTGAAACCCTTTCCTTCCTAGGGAGTAGGTGGAGTCCTGTACCAGCCAGCAAGCTGGGAAAGCAAACAGGGTGGGGGTCATTTTAGAGCTGCAGGGCGAGGGAGAGAGCTCAAGGGCATAAGGGCCTGCCTGGCAAGTGCAAAGTCCTGAATTCAAGTCCAGAAAAACAACCAGGAGGGCTGGTGAGATGGCTCAGTGGTCTAAAGCACCTACTTACAACAAGCTTAGCAAAGCACAGGGACCGCGGTTCAATCCCCCAGCGCCACATGCCAGCCAGCCCCGCCCCCTGGTGGGCTGAGCTGGCCACACACACACACACACACACAAATAAATTAATTAATTAATTTAAAAAAAAAACAACCAGGAGCTACTGCAGGGGATCAGAGAGGTGTGCCTGAGCTGAGACTGAAAAACGAATTAACGCCAGCTATCAGATAACCACTATGTCAGAAAGATTACGACTCTAATTGGGGATAAGAAGTCACAAAGTGCAGGCCGGGGAGAGGGCTCAGTGGACTAAGCGCTTCTCTGGCAAGCTCAAGGGCCTGAGTTTAATCCCTGGTTCCACCAAAAAAAATAGTCACAAAGGGTTAGGTTTTGTAAATAATTTTTCCACAAAGGGTTTTAAAACATGAGTGATATCACTACAGACTCTTCAAATTTCTTTGTCGGAACTGTCAAAAGTCAACTAGAACATCTTTTTTTTTTTTGGTCTTTTTGAGCCAGGGTCTCGCTATTCATCCTTGTGCAGGGGCCGTGCTAATCTTCTCTGTAGTGTATGTGCTGCCAAAGCGAGCACTCGCTACGCAGTTCAGACGGGCCTTGATCTTACTTTGTAGCCCAGGCTATTGTCAGACTCACAGCAACCCTCCTGCCTCAGCCTCCAGAGTGCTGGGATTACGGGGGTGTGCCACCATCACCAACTCAGCCGAACTTCTGATGTGGACAGAAGGACAGCCCTGCTGCTGGCTCTGGGAAGGCGAGGCTGAGGATGGTATGGAGCCCAAGCAAATGTGGAGGGACATTTAAAGCCACTGAGAGCGAAGGACACGTCGGAAATTGCCCGCAGTCCTGAAGCTGGCAGGATGCCCGCTGGATATTCTTGCCAGGGGGACTCCAGTCCTGGGGTGAAGGGGAGATCTTTAAGTCATTTCCATTGTCTGCTGTTCAGAAAAACTCCTAGGTAAATAAAATTAAAACCCCCAAACTTCAGACAGGGTATAGCCACGGGGAGCCCAGAAAACGATCTAAAGGGGTGTGTGCGTCTAGATCCCCAGCTTCATCGCCTAACCGAGCCCCTAAAATCCGCGGATCCCACCTTGACCAGGGAACACTTGGTCCTCCGTTCCAGCACCCCAGGGACCCATATGGCCCACACATACGCAAGGAATCCCCAGACCCACTCCTGGGACACCCTCCCCTCACTCAGGAGAGCCCTGGCGCCGCGAATCACAAGACATCCCCCCGGACCCCTGGCCCAGAGAGCCACCAGCCGCCGCATCCCAACCACCCTATCCTCGGCCCGCCCCTTCACGCCCCGCCGCGATCGGCTCCCAGCCCCGCCCTGCGCCTGCGCACTGAGGGCCACAAGGGATGGGGGCGGGGCTCAGGTCCCGCCCTCAGCGCTGCTAGCGAGACCGCAGAGAGCTGTACTTCACTCCACAGGCAGCGCAGGCGGAGGACGGCGGCGGACGTGTACGAGGCAGGATGGATGCAGGCTCGGACCCCGTGGTTATCGTTTCGGCGGCGCGGACCGCCATAGGTGAGTGGCCGGCGGGCCTAGACTGAGGTATGAGCCGCCTGCCCCGAGGGCCAGATCTGCATGGCGTAGGATAGGGGTGGGCAAAGGACCGAGCCGGGACCCTCGGGGACAATGGAGCGCCTGGCTTCTCTCTTCTTTACGGCCCTGCCCCCTTCTCGCCTTATGGGTTTGCTCCGCCCCTCGTTCTCGGATTGGCTCCCTACAGTTGAGCGACTGAGGCCCAGGCTCTCCTATTGGCTGATGTAGAGAGGCGCCCTCTAGTGAGGGCCTCTGATTGGCCAATGCCGGACACACCACGGTCAGCCTGGGTTGAAGGGCCGAAGGTCAGAGGCCAGATCCCAGGCCGGCCCGGCTGGGCGGGTGAAAAAATTGACGATTTGCCTCAAGCTCTTTAGTGCGCAGCTTTTGAAAGCTTGGCTCGCTAGAGCCCCCGTGGCTTTCGTTTGAGAATGATAGGGCCGCACCCCACCTGCTTCGTAGCCATTGCAAATGGTGCCCATCCTTTCTGCCCCGCTTCGCGTGGTGGCTTCTGCAGTGTCCCCGAGGTTCACTTGTCCGTTGTCTCCATTCTGTTGTAGGCTCTTTCAATGGTGCTTTATCTACTGTGCCTGTCCACGACCTGGGCTCAACTGTCATCAAAGAAGTCCTGAAAAGGGCCACACTAGCTCCTGAAGACGTGTCTGAGGTGATATTTGGACATGTTTTGTCAGCAGGTAACTCCTCAGTGACCCGGGAGAGGTCAGATTTATGAGTAACAGCCTGTTCTCCCCCTCCACGTGTGGGCACGTGCACGTACACACATGCACCCTTCCCTCCATACATTTGCTGAGCTCAATCTGTTAGGATTCCAGCTTCTGGCCCTCTTGCTAGTAATTTCATCGAGTGTAGGACTTGGCTGTGTTCAGTGTTTTCCCTGAATTATCCCACAGCACTGTATAGAAGCAAGACCTCCCAGATGCATCAGAGACTGTATGCATGGTGCTCTGCCTTTCTCGAAAATGTCCTACACCTTATGGAGATGTTGAAGTCTTCCTGTGTGTGCAGGACTATGTTAGAACCCTTTGCAGGGGTGGCTAGAACAATACAAATGGTGTTTTACCCACTTAGGGCCCACTTCTGAGCTGAACAGGTGGGTTGCTCCTCATTGACCTGGACTGACACCTTTAGAGTAGACAGAGGTCTAAGAAATTCCTCATCTGCTCTTGGGCCTAAAGACCTCTGATCCTTGGCTGTTCTTTTATGAATTTAGTACAGGGTCTACAGGGCTTCACTGTATAGATCTGACTCGTAGTGATCCTATTTTCAGCCTCCCAAGCGCAGGGATTATAGGTGTACGTCGCCATACCCAGTCTCAATTGCCATCTCAGTGCACCCTGGGGGTGGGGCTGGCATGGCACGCCAGGGATTGAAGCCTGGCTGCTGTGCTCTGCCTAAGCAGGCACTTTAGTCCACTGAGCTATCTGGCTTCTTGGCTGTTCTTACTTATTAATAACTAATTTGGAGTGTAGCTCAGTGTAAAGTGCATGATCACCATGTTCCTGGTCCACTCCCAGCACCCCTCTCCCAAAAAAGCAATTAATTTTGTTACCAAGCAGCAGGGTCCTAACAGCAAGAGGAACTGGCAGCATACCTTTAGTTTTTGTGGCTTTGACCCACGATTTCAGACGTATAAGCTGCTTAGAGCTCATTGCAAAATGATAGATTTTTTCCGAGCTAGTGTGAGAGAGTGCGCCTTTGGGCATGAAGAGGGACAGGTGCCAACGTAGCTGTCGCACTGAGCTTTCAGATTACACTTCCGTAATTAAGTGGGATTTTCAAGGAATAACCTTTCCTTTCTCCATTGTCTTTGTTCTTTCACAAGGAAAATGCGCTGTCTAGATGAGGGGTTCTTGTGCACATTTTAGGTGGCTATCTTCCGCTTTGTTTTTAATCTTTTTTTTTTTT